TACTCAAGACACAGCTTGGGTGTATATCTTTGTAGATTAGAATTTGATCTTTTAAGCATCTGTTCATATCTGCTTTGCTTTTCCCAGCAGCACTATAACATAGCCAGCATCGGAGGTACTTTCTCAGGTTGAGTTGGAGCATGGAGGCAGGAGTGCCTGAGTGGTCCCAGGAGAGATGAGAAGGCTTCACAGAGGAAGCGATGCTGGAGTTGCTTCTTGCAAGAGGCTGAGAGGTTGCTGGCGGGGTGGGCATTTCAGCTCACGGAGGCAAAGAAGCAGAGGCTATGGGGCACAAGAGAGCATGGCATTTTCAGAAAACAAAGGGTCATTTGGTTGGAATCTAAGCATTACAGGGTGGGAGAATGGTCTGAGAAGAAGCTGGAGTGCTAGCCATGGGCCAGACCATGCATGATCTTGTATGTTGTTTATTCAGTCACTCATTTTGCAAATATTTATTGAACAACTATTATGTACTAGGCACTGGAATTCAGCAATGAACAAAACAGGCGCGCACACACACACACACACACACACACACACAAAATCACTGTTCATATGGAACTTACATTCTAGTGGGAAGAGACAGAAAATAAATAATAGTAAAACTATATAAATGTACATAAAATATATTAGTGATAAGTGAGACGAAGAAAATTTGGCAGGAGTAAAAATGTGGGGTGGGCCCTGGCCGGTTTGGCTCAGCGGTTAGAGTGTCGGCCTGCGGTCCAGAGAGACCCGGGTTCAGTTCCACTAAGGGTGCGTACCGCAGTTGCAGTTTGTCCCCAGCCCTGGTTGGACTCGATGTGTCCCTTTCACGTCGATGTTTCTCTCCCTCTCTCTCTCTCCCTCCCTCCCTCTCCCTCTCTCTCTCCCTCTCCCTCTCTCTCCCTCCCACTCTATCTGAACAAAAAATGGAAAAATGTCCTCGGGTGAGGATAAAAAATAATGGAGGGGTGGGATTTTAAGGTGCTTAGGAAAGGCCTCACTAATAAGGTGACATTGGAGTAAAGATCTGAAGCTGGTGAAGAAGCCAGAGGTGAGTGAGAATGCTCTGGGCTGGGGAAATGTGCAACAGCCCTGAGGTTGTAGTGGGTCTGGTTTGTTCAAGAAACCATAGGAAGAGAGCATGGCTGAAATACAGTGGAGGGAGTCAATGGGGGAGGAGCAGGAGTTTTGAGAAAAGCCAGATGTTAGGTCTTGGTGGCCTCCAGGAGGATTTTGACTTTTATATGGGTGAAATGGGAATGATTGGAAAGTTTTGAGCAGGGTAATGACATCATACAACTTAAGTTATTAAAAGATCACTTTGAGAGTAGAGGTCCAGAGTAGAAACCAGGAGGCCAGTTGAGAGGTTGTTAGAATACTTCTGGTGAGAGAGATGGTGGCTTGAACCAGGGTGATTCAAGTGGGGGCATCTGGAAGATAGATTGTGTCCAGTAGGTGATAAGGAGCCATTGAAGACTTTGGACCAGGGAAGTGACATGGTCTGTATGTTAAAAAGATGATATCGGCAACCATGTGGAAGCAGGATTGGAGAGACAAAGAGCTGGGTCAGTTTCCCAAGCTCCAATCTTTAAGAATAAAGATAGAGACCCTACAAGGGATGTAGTCTGTACCTGAGGGCCCTTTGGGGTAGTTGTCAATGACCAGGGATAGGAATTGAAAAAATTTATACATTAGGAGACTCCTTTGCAAACCTTATCAAAGAAAGAATGTCATTGATGTGATCAGGTATATTCTGGAGGCGGCCTGCAAAACAGATAACCACATACCCTTACCACTCATTAGGCATTGTCATGAGAGCTGTGTGGTAAGTCCTATGGGGGGATTGTGGTAACTATTATCTCCATTTCTCAGATGAGGAAACTTGGGCACAAGGAGGTTAGGCACTATTGCCTCCTAAAGATCTTCAACTTAACACTTCCTTCTGAAAGGTTTCTTAGGGAGATTCAGAATTGTCTGGTCGTCTCCAACATTAAATTGAAAAAGAGATCACATTTTCTTTGAGAGTTGTGCTGATGACGGCTTCACTGCTGGGTAGTTATGTATTATTTCAATGCCCTGAATTGCCACTGACAGAAATTAGCTTAAGGAACATAAGTAGGGGTGAGAGAAACGGCAAGAAACTGAAATGTCCAGAGGAAGAGGCGTGTGTGTGTGTGTGTGTACGCCCGTGCGTGCGTGTGTGTGCGTGTGTGTGCGCGCATGTATGTGCATGTGTGGATCTGAGTGAGTATGGAATGATTTAGAATATGTGGCTAGATCCAGTGACTGAGATGATGTCATCAGGTCACTAGGGCATGTTCCTCCACCTCTCTGGTCCTAGTATTGTTGGCCTGGGTCTCTTCTACTATAGATGGCTTCCTCATCTTGTCAGGAGGGCTGCCCAACTGCAACTTCAGAGCAAATCCTCTATAGTACCCTGTTTCCAGAAGTAAAAGTGTCTTCCTAAGAAGCTTCAACAAAAACGAACCAGGAGGCCCTGGCCGGTTTGGCTCAGTGGTTAGAGCGTCGGCCTGCGGTCCAGAGAGGCCCGGGTTCGGTTCCCGCTAAGGGCACGTACCTCGGTTGCAGTTTGTCCCCGGCCCTGGTCGGTTGTGCGGGTGGCAGCCACTCGATGTGTTCCTTTCACATCGATGTTTCTCTCTCTCTCTCTGTTCCTCTCTCTCCCTCCCACTCTACCTGAACAAAAAATGGAAAAAAATGTCCTCAGGTGAGGAAAAAAAAAAAAACAAACCAGGAGGATTTGAATTTACCTGGTTTCAGCTCCAGTGTACATCCTGAGGTCTGGGGGTGCATGGTCAGCCCCATCTGAGGGGCACTTAAGGAATGCTGGGCAGCAGCCATGGAGCAGTGTTTGTAGGAAGTACTAGGTGTGAGGTCATGGACATCATCCTATGGGCACATCCCTGGAAGAAAGCAGCAGCATGCTTCAGCCTTATTGGGGTTGGTAGTACTGTTTTCCATGGGAAGAAATGTGACCCATAGTTCTGAGTTACCAGTAGCAGTCACATTTTAAGGAGAATGATTTAGGGTACAGCAGCTTTTCTTTAGAACGGGATCAGACTGGACCTGCTCTGGCTGGCTGGGAGGGGAAAGCAGTCAGCTTTCAGCTCAAAGCACCCACTAACACCATAACTATTTCTCTTATGTGGCTGTTTCCTTTTTTCTGTCTCCAAGTAAATGATAAGGGGTGGGGGAAACGAGATGGTTTTTAAAAAGCATCCCTCAACATTTTTTTCATCCTGACACAAATTAGGATAAAAGGTGTTCTTCATAATGTGGTATACCTTTGTTTACCTAACAAAACAATGAAATACGAGTTATTTCTCACTAAATGTAATGGACTCTAATATTTTCTAGTCTGTTTGATTTTATTAAAGCACACATGTGTTGATCATAACCACTATAAATTCATTTTACAACTTACTGAACAGTGGCAACGAGTTTGAAAAACAAGTAACAATTGTGTATTCGTTTGCCGGGGCTGCTGTAACAAGGCACCACAAACTGGGCGTCTTACCAACAGAAATGTGTTGTCTCACGGTCTGGAGACCAGCAGTCCAGGTGTCAGCGGGGTGGTTCCTGTTGAGGGCTGTGAGGGAGACCGTTCCATGCCTGTCCCTAGCTTCTTGTGGCTTGCCGGCAATCTTTAGGGTCCCTTGGTGTGTGAATGTATCCCCCCTTCTGTCTTTATCTTCTCATGGTGTTCTCTCTGTGTGCATGGCTTTGTCTAAGTCGCCCCCCCCCCCCCCTTTTAAGGACACCAGTTATTGGATCAGGGGCCACTCTACTCCAGTATGACCTCATCACAACTTAACTAATTACATCTGCAGTGACCCTATTTCTAAACAAGGTCACATTCTGAGGTGCTGGCAGCTAGGCCTTCAACATTTCTATTTTGGGAGAGAGGGGGACACAATTCTACCCATAACAAATGATAAAAACACAAAATTGGAAATAAATAATAGAAGTTCCCATTTTGTTGAGTTCTTTTTATATGGTGGACTCTCAGGCATTTCATTTCATGAACTCATTCAGTCCTTCTTGCCCCATTTTGTAATTGGAAGGCCAAGCTGAGAGGTCTCCCAGATTCAAACTTGAGTCTCCTTGATTTCAGAGCCCATGCTCTCTCCTGTGTGTCTTATTCATAGCACATCAGGAAGCGTCATGCAAGTTCACTTGGTCTGGAATACAATGCTAAACACAGGTAGTAAATGCACTGTGAAAACTGTGCCAAATTTCATTGCAATGAAGACGTCAAAGGTCACACAAGAATGCCAGTGAACTCTTGGCTTTGTCCATGGTCTTGTCCCTGGCAAGTGGCTGCATCCCTAACAACACCCAGCCCAGCAACCAGCCAGACAGGCACTTTCTCCCTTTGTGTTTTTCTATCCTCATTCTGAATTTAGATCTGAGTGAAGGGTAGGGAGAAGGAAATGAGCCAGAAAATAGAAAATTAATACTTGGTAGAGTCGTCATATTTTAAAAATAATTTATAGGCAATGTCAGATAATCAGAGTTAAATCATTTTATCAGCAGGATGGTGTAGGACTTAAACATTGACATCCATCAATGTAAATCAGTCTCAGGAGCCCCAAGGAATGGTCTCTAGGGACGAGGGCTGGTACAGGGTGAGTAGAAGTGTAAATACTTGATTAGCTGTGTCCTTTTCTTTCTATATCCCAGTGAGTGGTAATGGTATGTTAAATAGTAACGGGAGGGAAGGAACTATTCAGGTTTATGGTTCTCTTACTTTAAATGCTTGTCTTCCTCCCTGAAAATCCTAGGAAACTGTTGAATGAGAGGTACTCATTTCTGGTGTACTCCTGACTCATGGGTCCAAGGATGACCTTTTACACAGACACAGGCAGGACACCGTTTCTCCCAGCTGTTCAGATGTCATGTCTCTGCCATGTGCCTGCAAACAGGTGCATCCACAGGTTTGTACGGGGAAGACCTGGCCTGATTCAAGACCCACCTTTCTTTTGTCATTGCAGCTCTTTGTCGAGGGCGTGTGGTGAGAGTCCCCACCGGGAGCCTGGTGCGGGTGGTGGGCACTGAGCTGGTCATCCCCTGCAATGTCAGCGATTATGACGGCCCCAGTGAGCAAAACTTTGACTGGAGCTTCTCATCTTTGGGGAGCAGTTTTGTGGAGCTTGCCAGCACCTGGGAGGTGGGCTTCCCAGCCCAGCTGTACCGGGAGCGCCTGCAGAGAGGTGAGATCCTTTTGAGGCGAACTGCCAATGATGCCGTGGAGCTCCACATAAAGAACGTCCAACCTTCGGACCAAGGCCACTACAAGTGTTCAACCCCCAGCACGGATGCCACCGTCCAGGGCAACTATGAGGATACGGTGCAGGTGAAAGGTACATCCTCATGGGGGGTCGCTATGCCAGGGGCCTGACTTGCCCCTGCCACTTGGCTGTAGGTGACTTTGTCAAGAAACTTAACGCCTCAGGGGCCCTGCTTCCTCCTCTAATGGAGTAACAGCATCTTACCTGATTAAAGGCAGGGGATGGGTCAGCTGGCCTCCAAGGGTCCCTTCTCTTCACTAGGATTCTGAGTCAACCCCTAGCTGGTGAGTTGGAGGCAGCAGGGTGTGGTGGTAGGGCCCAGTTCTGAGCCAGATTTCGTGCACTCATTGAGACCAGTGACTGGCTCTACCTTTTGTCAGCTATGTGGCTGTGGGCACGCTGCATCAGCTTCCTCCTCTGTAACAGAGCCTTTCTTAAAGGCGGTGAGGACAGGGAGCTAGCATGTGTGAAGCCACGAAACTGCAACAGAAGCATTCAGTGAATGTTTGCAATGAGAGGGAGGTTATGATGATAATGTTTGGCTTTATGGGAATAACATACTTCAAGGATCTTGTCTTTCTGTGTGCCCTGAGTACCTGTTAGTTGTAGCAGTTTTATGGGTTACATGTAGAGAAAGAGTGATGCAGTCACTGCTAGCTTATGACGGGGCACTGCGAGCTGATTGGCCTGGCTGTGCAAGTCTTCACACCTTGTTTATCGGCACTGTTTTTGTTTTTTTCCCATTTTCAAGCCCTGTTAGATTTGCTTACACATTCAGTTCTCTGAATTCAGTGAAGAAGGTAGGGCAGGATATTTCCTTAATTTACATAAAAGGAAATGGGAGAGCAGAGGTTAATTATTTAAAATCACACAGCTAATTAATAAGTGAGCAAAAGACAAATCTTATTTATTTATTTATTTATTTTAATCCTCACCCGAGGACATTTTTCCATTTTTTGTTCAGATAGAGTGGGAAGGAGAGAGAGAGAGAGAGAGAGAAATCGACGTGAAAGGGACACATCGAGTGGTTGCCACCAGCACGACCCAACCAGGGCTGGGGACAAACTGCAACCGAGGTACATCTCTCTGGACCGCAGGCTAACTCTCTAATCGCTGAGCCAAACCGGCCAGGGCAGACAAATCATTTTAATTTGGGGCTAACCAAATAGAAACATTATTGTTGTTATTTTTATTAATTATGCACTTATTTGTACCCTACCTTGTTCCAGAAAGAATTGATATCAGGGTAGGAATATATTTAACAATCAAGAAAGTAGAAGATGTACATGATGATCTAAATGAGGGGATTGGTTCTCTCAGTAACAGTTTATAGAACCCTACATATCTCAGATACCATTCCCCCATTTGACTTATGAGGGGATAAAACAGTCCTGTCCATTATGTAGGTATGAAAACATCAAATCTACCTCTTCCCTTACTTCTTCCTAGTCCTATGGAAAATCCTAATATGTCTTTTAGAAAAAAATGTCCTGTAAGATATTCTTGCATTGCAGTTAAATAATGCATTTTTTTTTTTTTTTTTTTTTTTTGGGGTACATGCCCCTAGCGGGAACCGAACCTGGAACTCTTTGGTCCACAGGCCATCGCGCCAACCACTGAGCCAAACCAGGCAGGGCTGCATTGCTTTTTATATAATCGGCACACACATGCTACGCCTCCATTATGTCACATGCACCCATTTCCCCTTGTAATTGAAAGCAGGTGGATGGCCAATGAAAGAGGCTGATTGGCTGCCCAGGTGAAGCCTTTGAAAGCTGCCATACATGGTCCAGAATCTGTCTGGACTTCAACTTTGTGGGTCTTGAAGCTGTTCATGTGTACCCTGAGGGATAACAGGCCTTGGAGACCAAGTCATGTTAGCTGGAATCACAGACTGAAGTATATACTAGAAGGTCATTATATTTGTTTTATAGTAGAGATGGGTCTTTCTAAATATGTAAGTTTTTTTTCTATTTTTCTGAGTAGCTCCTCAAAGACACAAAATTAGTTTCTGAATGTGAATGGTGGGGAAAACCAGAGAGATGATGAATCGTGGTGTTTGCGCATTCTCTCATCCAGCTCATAGACAAATCTGAGAGATTGTCCCTATCCCTTGGAAGAGACACCCCCCCCCCCCCCAGGTTACTTCTCTTCCAAAAGCGCACTCATCGAATTTCCTTGATCTCTGGCCCTCTTTTTCTAGACTCTATAGAAGAGCCCAGCCCTTTTCCAGAGGGCCTAAAGAGAGCAAAGAGCTAAGGCTTCTGTTTTCCTTGTTGGGTTCCCAACCTGCAAACTCTGCTCACTCTAGTCACTTGTAGGCATTTCCCAGGCCACAAGGCACAGGCAGCTCATGCCCACCTTCGCTCTGTGGATTAGCTCTCGGAAGATCCTTCCAGCTCCCTAAGCTAGGCTGGGTGCTAACAGTTTGACAACTGTGGCCGGTGGTTGTATTGTGATTGCTGAGTGCCAGCACCGTCCTGGGCGCTTTCCTGTATAACTCAATGAACCTCTCAGTCAGCTTCCTGAGATAGGTCCACTTGGCATCCCTTTTCAGAGATGAGGAAACTGAGGCACAGAGAGGTAAAGGGTACCTTAAGTGTGACAGAAAGATGTCACCAAGATCCAACTCCCAAAAGGCAGTTTTCACACACACACACACACACACACACACACACACACCCCTTCTACCAGAGGATTTTATTAGGCCCTCTTCCTTTTCTTTCATTTTCAAGTCAGAAAGTCAATTAAGATTATAGATGAATCCAAATGGGAAAACATGCCCATCTGGGCATTAGAACAGGGAGGGGGGGAGGAACTTGTCCTTGGTCACAACCAGAAAGGTGGCTGGTGCTTGCTGGGATGGGGGCTTAGCTGCTCTGCTGACGGTCTGTCCCTCCCCACCTCCAGTGCTGGCTGATGCCCTGCACGTAGCTGCCAGTCAACCGTCTCCCCTGGGCCTGCGCCTGGGTGAGCCCTTCGAGCTGCGCTGCACGGCTGCCGCCACATCCCCGCTGCATACTCACCTGGCACTGCTCTGGGAGCTGCAGCACAGCTCCACCCGACAGAATGTCCTCGCCCTGACCCATGAGGGCCGGCTGCACCCAGGCCCCAGCTACGAGCAGCGCTACCACAGCGGCGACGTGCGCCTGGACACCGTGGGGAACGATGGCTACCGCCTCTCTGTGTCCCGGGCCTTGGCCACTGACCAGGGCACCTACAAGTGTGTTGTCAGTGAGTGGATCGAAGAGCAAGGCAACTGGCAAGAAATCCAAGAAAAAGCCGTGGATGTGGCCACTGTGGTGATCCAGCCAACAGGTGAGCTTTTGGAAATTGGATATTTTCAACTTTATCTTATTTTCTGACCAATGATAATGTAAGATAGGTGGGAGCCCCATCCCTTTCTGACAAGTTTTTTGCTCATGTGAGGCCTTATATTGGGGTGGGAGGGAGAACGGTAGTGTTGATAGTTGAAGAGGGTGCATTCATTTTGTGCTTCATGACCATAGTTTTGTTTTATAGCCACTTTTCATCTGGTTTCATACCCATGGGAAGCTGCAGGTTACCCATGGTACTAAGACAGTGTTTTGATTGGAAGACAAGTCCCTTTATGTGTCAGAACGAGGCCTGGCCTGATGTCCAGAGGGGGCTTTGGGGCAGAGCTGCCTCTATTACCTCCTTAGCTTTATTTTTGGTGTTTCCTGAATCTCTGGATTTGCTGTTCCCCACAGTTGTTGGGGATGTGTGTCTGGCTCACCTCAAAACCTCTCGTCTAACTTGATCCTGTAGGCCAGGGGTGGGGAATGTCCCCCGCGGGCTGTATGTGGCCCATGAAATCAATACCAGCTAACGTCACATGCTTGGTCAAATTAGCCTGACCAAATATAGCAGGTTAATTTTTTATTTTTTTTAGAGAGAGAGAGAGGAAAGGAGAGAGATAGAAACATCCGTGTGAGAGAGAAACAATTGGCTGCCTCCTGCACACCCCCCTACTGGGGATCAAGCCTGAAACCTGGGCATGTGCCCTGACTGGGAATCGAACCGGGACCTCTCAGCCCATAGGACAATGCTCAATCTACTGAGCTACACTGGTCGGGCGTAGTAAGTAGCAGGTTAATTTTTACGTTAATAATTTTGTATGGCCCACAAATGATGTTATAAATATCCAAATGGCCCTGGACAGAAAAAAGGTTCCCCACCCCTGCTCTAGGCCTACCTCTCAGGTCCCCTCCGATGCTCCACCCCTTCTAGGTGAGGAGTTCTCCAGGGCTGGGCCTCATCTTATATATATAGGAGCATCAAGCCTTGGGGTCTCTATGCAGGAAGTTCTTTGTCCTGTCATCTGTGAACCAGCTTAAAAAACAAACAGTAACACACAACTTTCTAATCTTAATAGACAACCAATTAGGAAAATATATTTTAGAAAACTCATAAAAATAAAAGAAAAACAAATGAGAAAGAAAAACAAGCCATTATTGATTCCATGTCCCACAAGCAGCAATAAAGAACCTAACAGATGATCAGCTGTGTCCTGGGCCCTGGAGTGGAAGTTCTTGAGGAGCATTCCCAGGCCCCATGGAGTGTGGGTTTGGCAGAGACGAAGTGCAAAGAGACCTTCTCAGCATGATGATATTGCCATGGATGGATGGATGTACTTGGTTTTCTGGGAGTCTATCATCTTCAGATCTCAGTACTTGACTGTCATAGCTGCTGCTCCTGTTTTGTAAACTGAGAAAACCTTGGCCAGACTCACTTCCTGAGTATAAATGTGAGTGTGTGGCCACTCTGTGGCTCAGATCCGAAAGAAAGCAGGATGCATACTCCATATGGGGAGTATTTTTCCTCTACAGACTGCGTTGTCATGAGCATTTCACTCTGCATTTACACCACCCCACAGGAGCTAGATTTGGTAAAAGCAGGAGTGAGGTTCTTAGTGACTGTGGCTGTTAATGCGGGAGGTGCTCTTGTTAAGGGGAGGGGCTGCCCGTCATGGTCAGTCTTGGGTCCACTGGACTCAGGTCACCTTCCTTTTCAGAAGTGATCTGCCTGAAATCTGTCTGTCTTAAGAAATGCCCGCTCTTCAGCTTGCATCAAATAACTGGGGTTAAGAGTTTCAGATTTGCAGCAAGTTTTCTTTGCATGCAGGAATTTCAGGAAAAGTATTTTTTATTTTAAAGAAGGCACAGAACCCATAATACCCGGTTTTAAGACCTGAGCACTCTGAACATATTAGGCAGGTAATAGCATTTGGCTCTCACCTGAGCCTGGGGTTGGCAACCTTTTTGTGTCGTGAGCTTCTTTGACAGTCTTTTGAAGCCCATAGACCTTAACATGTTTAATGCCTAAAATACATACAGAGGATGACAAAGAAAAACAATTATGTTGAAGTAGTTATCAAAATATTTTAAAGACAGATTTGTTATATAACAATATTGAACTTTATCAATGCATTAAATAATAAGATACAGTGGGTGGCCTAAGAACTACTGGAATTTTTTTTTTTTATCCTCATCCGAGGACATTTTTCCATTTTTTGTTCAGATAGAGTGGGAGGGAGAGAGAGAGAAAGAGAGAAACATTGACGTGAAAGGGACACATGGAGTGGCTGCCACCCACACGACCCAACCAGGGCCAGGGACAAACGGCAACCGAGGTACATGCCCTTAGTGGGAACCAAACCCAGGTCTCTCCGGACCGCAGGCCGACGCTCTAACCGCTGAGCCAAACTGGCCAGGGCACTACTGGAATTTCTAAGTAAAGACAAATATAAATGATATTTTAAGATATCTGCAACAATTGTCATGTGATATAAAGACATCTGTGACCTCTACTGGGGCTAAATCCCAGGGATAGATAATACAACACTTGTTTGTTGCTTAGTCTCATAACGAGAGGAGATGCTATATTTTAGGTCGAGATTAGTACAAATAGAAAACTTTTCTTATTTGTCCATCATGGACTCTCTTTGTGGACCTCTGGTTAAGAACCCCACACTAGAGTGCTGCTTTTTCTCTTGTCAACACCTTCACTGGCCATAGCTAGCTTCCTAAGTATTCTTACTGTACTGTTGTGATAAACAGCCCAAAGCTACTTTAAACAGTGGGACTGTGTTACCTGTGTGACAGTCCCCCCTACCCTCCCTGTTCATGAGTGGTCTGTTTGACTCAGGTCTTGGTGTCTGTTATGGATTCATTTAAATCTAGCAGGAGAAAGCCTGAAGCACCATAGCCTTTGTCTGAGGTCCCCTCTTGCATTGAGTCCTTAGTACTGCTTCTTTCTTTGCTTCAGCCTGCTCCTTCCCGTTTCCCACAAGAGACCATCCCCCCAGTCCAGAACATGTGAGAACAATGGTTAGTGGTGTGACACGACATTTAGCCACTTGCAGAGAAAATTACAAAGAGAACTATACAGTTGAAGAACATTTCTACCACTCCTCCTAAACCTAAGACTCTATTTACTCCATACGGACAGTCCACAGCTGTGTATTGACCACTTCTTCTCTCACCTGGTTCCCTCCTGAGCCATCTTCTACCTCCAGCAGCTGGTGACCAGCACATGGGCCTCTAGCAATATTCCAGGGTCTCTGACCATAGTCCTTGTACGTGGGGTGGTTCAAACTGCAGCACAGACTCAGGGCAACAGTTTTTATATTGACTCCCTTCAGAAGACATCCTCAAATTACTTTTGACCCCTTTAAAGGTGTCAACCTCAGGAGAAGGAGGAATTTGGAGGGTAGATGAAGGTGAGAAATGAGACTTAAATTTTTTTTTGTAATTACTGGGCCCACCTAATTTTCTGTCTTCATAAAGGTGAGTCTTGAACTTGGCCTGAAACACTTGTTTGAAATGTTGTCAGGCTTTGGAAATATTTATATGAAAGCAGTAACTCCAGAGGGCATGGGCTTTGGGGCTTGTCTTTTATGAATGGGCACCAGCCTTTGTCACTGAACCTCCTCTGGACATCAGTTGAAGCTGAGCAACTCTTGCTGGAAGACCAGGACTGTGTCTGCACTGAATCCCCCTGGGAGCTGTTCCCACAGCATTACCTTGAGATGAACGTTTCTCTACTCTGATTACAGATGTTCAGCTTCTTTTTAAAAGCCCCTTAAATAAAGCAAAATGTTTCCATGTGAAAAGCTGGCAGGGGATGTTCGAGACCAGCACCATGTCCATCAGTGCTCCACCTAAATGTGATCTACTTTTCATTGTTCACACTAACGAGAGCGCAGCAGCCTGGGTAACCCAGCAATCATTGTGTTGGTTTGAAAATATGTGCTTTACGCTTAACTTGAAGGTGACATATCTAATGGAGTAAATGATGCTCTACATATATTGCATTTTGAAGACCTGAGTCATAGGCGTATGGTCTGGTTTCACTTTCCTGATCCTTCTGTTTAAGATTTTCCCTCTTTTACCCAAAAGTTGGTTTTACCCTCCACTCCTGCCCTCCAACCTCCAACCCCCGTGCCCAGTCCCCAACTTATAATATGTATCAGTCAGAATGGAATTCTCCTTTCTCTGGAAAATCACCCATATCTTATAATGCATGTGGAGAAAGTATAATTTTAGTGTTGTAATGTTCAGCAGACTTCTTTTCAAACAGTAGTGTATCAGTTAAGAGGAGAGTTCCTGGAGGCAGGCAGCCTGGATTAGAATTCCAGCTCTGCCGTATATTAGCTGTGTGATCTTGAGCAAGTTACTTAACTTCTCTGTGCTTCAGTTTCCTTATCAGTAAAATGGAGATAATAATAGTAACTACTTCATAGGGTTGCTTTGAAGATTAATATTTTCTAAAGTACTTGGAAGAGTATCTGACATATAGTAAGTATATAAATGTTTATGAATTAAAAGGAAATATGTTTCATGAGTTTATTTAATAAGTATTTCTCAAGCATTTACAACTGTATAAAGCCTTCTAATTTTAATGTCATAAATAAAACCCAAAAGGAGATGATCTAAAGGGAAGGTGGTGGAAAGGCCAAACATTATCCACATTATCAAGATGTATTTTTTAATTTCAAGTTTTGCGAGCTACCGTGGGCAGGAACGTGTCTGTGGCTGAAGGAAAGGAGCTGGACCTGAGCTGCAACATCACAACAGACCGAGCGGATGATGTCCGACCTGAGGTGACATGGTACTTCAGCAGGACACCGGACAGCACTGTGCCTGGCCCCCATGTGTTGGCACGGCTGGACCGTGATTCCCTGGTGCACAGCTCTCCTCATGTTGCTTTGAGTCACGTGGATGCACACTCCTACCATTTACTGGTTCGAGATGTTAGCAAAGAAAACTCTGGCTACTATTTCTGCCACGTGGCACTCTGGGCACCAGGGCACAACAGGAGCTGGCACAAGGTGGCAGAAGACATGTCTGCCCCAGCTGGTGTGGATGTGACCTGGCTAGGTGAGTAATTTGGGGGATGGCTCTTAGCCTCCCTGGCTTAATCCCTCCTCTGGGATATCAGGAGGAGTCAGAGCGTGTATTTCAGTTATTTTTGCGTTCTTGGTATCAGGACAAGCATACTTCAGCCTGGATAAGATCCCAAGCTGGGGGTGGAAGCAAAACTGGCTGAAATGGAATCTGGCAGGCAACAGCAATGTTTAGATAATGTGGCCTCAGTTGTCTCAATACCCTCATTTGAGAGGATAGAGTTTCCTTTTGTTGTTGAGATTTGCAGGGTCCAGCCCTGTTGAATGGGTCTTTGAAATGGATCATTGCGCAGGGGGACCGCCTTCATTCTTCCTGTCTTTTCCTAGACTCCTAGGTGCTCTCTGGCAGGAGCTGGTGCTCTCTAAAGCCTAGTGCAGAAAGAGAGAGAATTCCTGCAGTTAATGGAATCGCCAAATAATTTTATTTGCAGATATACCAGTTAAATGGAAGAGCCTTCCTGCTTCCCCTGTTCTCCTGGTGGGCTCTCACCCAGGTACAATTCACTGGAGGAGCTGAATGGCTGTTGATCACCTCACCACCCATTTATAACAACTTGTCACATACATGAAGATCATCGTCATGTCCTTTTTTACCATTGTTATCTTCTCCACCTCTTATTGTCCTAAATGCCTGCCCTGCAAGACTGACTTTTCCTATCTTTTGTTACTGTCTTGTAATTAATTACAAGTAAACCTAGGCAAGATGGGGATGAGTGGAGTGTGCCTTGCTTTCCACTTCCATTATCACAAAGATAGTAACAGGACTGCCAGTCTGTCTTTCTGTCCTGAGCTCGAGCGCTCCACTGTCCCACAACTGCTGAGGACCCTGCTGGAGGCTTTTGGCATGGCTCTGATTATTGGGAGTAAAACATCTTTGAAGGCCAGGAAATCGTTTCCTCTTTTGTCTGATGCTAAGCATCCTCCTGCCATGATCCCCAACTCCTATTGGCTCTTCCTTGTCTCTGCACTGAAATCTTCTCATGGGTGCACGGATCTGTTTCTTCCAAATAAGCCTTTATTTGGCAAAGGTGGGGAGTTGGCAAGCGGGGACAGAGGGGGCAGGGAGAAGATGAGTAATAAGAGAGTAATCAGGAGGTACATCTAGTTCAGAGTGAGACTAGGCAGGGCATTCGTCATCCCTGGTAGCAAAGTGATTCTTTGATATCTGAAAAGTGAAAGGAACAGGGTTTATCTGGCAAGCTTTTATTCTTGCCTTCTGAACCCCACGCAAGAGACTCGCTCTGAAGTACTGAACTGGAACAATGTTGGCCCAGCTAGAACTCTCCTTAGCAACCTTCAAAATAAAACAGATGTTGTCAGCACCTAGAGAAGAGTTTTCATCTCTGGAGCGGAATTTGTCTCTCAGCGCTGATCCTTGGAGCTTTGTGTAGCTGTCAGGTCCCAGCACTGACTCTCTTTCCCCTCCCCCTTCCAACTCAATCAGAGCTCAAGCGGATTTTTTTTTTTAGAAAGTGCTGTCTGCTTCCCAATTTGAGGGCCTCTTTGAAGTACTTGTGCATTGATCCAGGCATACCTGGTTGGGGGGGGAAGGGGGTGCAGAGACTGGCAGAGAGCTGGAGGAGAGCTCTGGGAAGGAACGGGCTCTTTTAACTAGAAGGGATTTGTTGGTGTCTGTGTTTTCCAAAGTGAGAAGGAATAAAGAGACTGAATTGTGGGAAAAGGTTCAGTGATTATCCTAAGGATCAAGCTGTTTGTTTTTCTGCAACGTGCCAGCACCATTGTTTTGAGTCACCAGTGCTTTTTTCTGGCTGACGCTGAGGTGCACAGGACCTCACACCTTGCACAGTGCTGTGCATGCAGTGGCACTCAATAAATGCTGGCTGGTTGGCTAGATAAATTAGCACTGGACATATGGGCAGTGTTGAAATATGTGCATAGAAAACTAAGAAAGCAGTGATGTTCAACTCAGTATTCAGAGGCATTGTACCCTGGTAAACCTCCAGGGGTGGGGAAAGTCCGGCCCTTGGGCCATTTAAGACCCGCAAAATCAATACCAGCTAACATCACACGCCTTACCAAATTAGCCTGACCAAATATAGCAGACTAGTTTTTAAGTTGATAATTTCGTATGGCCTATGAATGATGTTATAAATATCCAAATGCCCCTTGGCAGATAAAAGCTTCCCCACCCCTGGTTCAAACCGACTGCTTTCTACTCCTTTCTCCCTTGTAAATCTCCTCCTTCCCTGTGTCTCTCACCATTACAGCTGCCTGGACACTTGTCAGGAGGCAAGTCCAGTGTGAGTACATCAGCTGACCTTTCTCCAGGTCCTCACAGTTGAATTATCTGCCAAGAAACCCATGGGCCCAGCCCGACATATGATTCTCTCTAGATACACAACATGTCTGTGTACATATGTGGATACCATACCATGTGCAGTGTGGGACTCATTGGAGGTAACTGAGAGGTGCCCCAAAAGGACAGGGAGAACATGACCTGCAGACATGTCTGTTTGCATAGGTCATCTTACGTTGTGTGACTATCAAATGTTGTCACAAAAGAATTCTTCAGAAAGTTGGTTCCCTATGTGGGTGTTACAAAACTCTCAATTATTATATTAAAAATAATAATTATCATTAAAAATTTTTTTCTTTATTAATTTTAGAGAGAGATAGAAACATTGTTGAGCAAGAACATCGATTGGCCACCTCCTTCATGGCCCGCACTGAGGATTGGGTCCACAACCTGGGCATGTGCCCTGACTAGGAATCGAACTGGTGACCCCTTGGTGCATGGGTTGACGCTCAACCACTGAGCCACACCAGCCGGGCAATAATAATGATCATATGTTGAACACATACTGTGTGCCAGGCACCTGGCTAAAGGTTTTACATGCATAAAATAGTTAATCCCCGCAACAACCTTGTGAGTGAGGTGCTGCCCTAGTCCCATCTGAAAACCACTGATTTTTATTTTGCTTATGATTTTGAGGGTCAGAAATTAAGAAGGACCCAAGGGGATTCATCTCTGATACATGTGGTGACAGCTGGGATGGCTGGGACTGGGGATTCCCTTCCAGATGGCTTTCTCATGCACATGTCACCATGCTCCTGGGCCTCTCTCTCTGTTCCCACATGGCATCTCATCCTCCAGGCCCTTTTCACGTGGCTTGGGCTTCTCATAGCAGTCTTCTCAGGGCAGTCACACTCATTACTTGGTGGCTGGCTTCCAAGAAGCAGGAAGTGGAAGTGCCCAGCCAGTTGAAAGCTATCCCCAGGACTGGCACAGTGTCACTTCCACTATTTCATGTCGATCAAAGCTATCACAGACTCTGCTCCAGTTCAAGGAGGTAGAGAAAGAGACCCCATCTCTTAATAGGTGAATAGCAAGGTCACATTGCAAAAGAGCATGTGGCTAATAAATACTGCTTTAGTTGTTTTTGGAAAATAGATTCTATCACAAGTGGTTAATGCTTGTTTCTTTTATTTCAAAAGAAATGTTTAGGATGGCTTAGAATTATGGCCCCAAGTCAAGTCTGTCCCAAGTATTGTCATCTTAAGTGGAGTCTGTCTCAAGTATTGTTATCTTAGGTGGAAACATTTTTAGCTTTGGGAATCAGTTCCACCCCTGAAACTCTAGAGCACAGAGTCCTAGAAGCTGGGCCATTCTTGTCATTTCCTTGGGGTTGGTGCTCTGAGTAGATGAGGGGTGGAAGCTGATTATAATTTCCTCATGTTCTATTGTGTTAACCAGACAGAGCTCAGCGCAGTGATGTGAATGGGTCTGGCAAATCTAAGAGCATTTGTAGCAACTGGGAGGACCATGATGATTTTTTTTAGAGGGTAGGAAAAAGCATCTTTTACTTAGGTTTATGTCCTACTTTTGAAGGGGAAAAAAGATTTAAGTTGGGTTGCAAAATGAATCACAATTTAAAGCAGGAGACATAAAAATAAAATCAAGATTAAAAGAGGTTTTAAAAAATCAAGGGATAGATATTGCAAGGTAGTTGGAATATTGCAGGGTAGTTGGGTGAATTAGTTACTGCATTTGAACACAGTGAATTTGCCTGTGAAGTTTTGAAGAGTTGAGGCAAAAAGAAATGTGATTAGACAGTTCTCTGATAAAGGAAAACAAACTCAGAGACAAACTTTTTCTTGGCATTGAATTTATCATGTGCTTTTTTATTTAAGGGGCATTGGATAACATAATGGACAGTGCTTTCAACTGTTCTTTTACAAAAGGCCCTAAGTGATTGTTTAAATGGATGTTTCTTATATCCACTCTCTGAAGGAGCTGAGGGCATAAATCGTAAGTGTGTGAAGGAGTTTCTGTAAGAAGCTGAGTTACTGTGGAGGACAAGTGTTGCTTTGTGTCATTCCAGTTTAGTGTATAGCTAAAACTATAGAGGATCTGGAGGAATAGTGAGTTAATCTGCATCTTAAGCCATCTCTCTCTGCTATCAGATGTCTTAAATGAGCCTTTGGCACGAGTTGGATACTAATCAGTTCATGGTTGAGCTCTCTGCCCAAAGTACCAGACTTCTGTGGTGTTAATTGGAGAGGCTTCCATGGGCTTCAGATAGAAGATCAGGAGGAAGCAGAGTTGAGTTATGCTGCCTGGGTATAAGAACCTGATTTGCATTTTTCCCCACAAGAGGACCATCCCCTCTTCCAGCAGTGTGCCAGCAAGGGAGGTAATTATTTTTCTTTAAAAGGAGCTGTTAATCTGCTAAGTACTTGGTAGAAAATTCAGAGTTCTGTGCCATCTATAGGAGATAAGAGTTAGATCTGCAGACTTTTATAGGCAGCTATTGGCTGTCTATCTAGGATTATCCCTGAAGGCAGAAGAGCATGTGGGTAAGTGTTGGAATCCTGCTTCACCACCTTCCAAGTGGTGCTATCTTAGGTGTGTTGCTTCTAGTTGTGCTGTCTTAGGTGTGTTGCTTAAGGTTTCTAAGCTTTGGTTTTCTTGGTTTCCTTTGATAATGCATTAAAAAGTATTTAGCACAGTGC